CCCCAAAACCCCAAAACCCCAAAACCCCAAAACCCCAAAACCCCAAAACCCCAAAACCCCGAGTTTTCATGTTAAGATTGAGTCAGAAATTTATCAGGTTCTATATTTAAAAGGTATTTAACTGGTGGGATACGTCATTATGTACCTTTTGTTAGATAAAGCAGAAATAAAGCATTATGGTTTAGTTTGATTTCCTTCTTTTAGCAATACATCTCTTCAAAATGAAAATGACATTTTTAGGCACTCTGATAACCATGCTAATTCCTTTCACCAAAGTTCTAATAATCAGTCTAAGTACTAACATTATGATTCTGATGAAATACCTTCAAAGGAAGAACAGCATGAATCAGACGAAACAGATCAGCAGTTCCCAGAGAAGGGATTTGTAGATGAATGCGTAGCCTGGAGTGAACAAGATTGCTTTCCAGAAGCGGTATTTTATGTAACATGCTAAGGCAAGAGGGACCATACAGAAGACCAGGCATCATCTTTGTCCTCTAGAACTACTTGGAGCGAATAGAGTGAAGATGCCGATGACTCATAGAACCAAACTGCCAATAGTTATTGCAAGCACAGCATTTGGGATAATGAAGTAGAATAATATTGCAGAAAGTACAGTATAGACAATATAGTGAGGCAAGTACCACAGGTAGACATACCTACATAAGTTGTAATCAACTGCGATTAGAGGTAGTAAGCATGACACATAGGTGATAACTTGTCTTATAGGGCAGAATGTGTTCTCTTTATGTCGGTAACCAGGATATGCTCCGAGACAGAGCCAGCAGAACTCGTATTTACATTTCTGTCATACCATGTGGCTTCACCCACCATCTTTCCAGATGACGAGTCCACACTTGGGGCAAGGACATCCAGTCATAACTTCGTTAATGTAACTAAAAGTTTCTGTCTTTAGTGTGAGTGTATCTTTGACAGATTTGATAGATTTTTGTAAAGGAGACATTTGGATGAATTCTCTCCACTGGTAATTACACCGAGGACATTCTAATTTATCGCGGCAGGTGCTCAATTCTATTGTCCCAGCATAAATACAGTCAGGATTTGGTCAGCTCCTGATATCCTCGGTGTTAGTGAGGTAGAGCCTGGTATACTCTTCATTAATTTTTTCAAATTCTTTAGCTCCAAGGATCTTGATCAAGTCAGTATGTTTGAGCTCATGTTCTCAGTTATAATTTGCTCAAGGAATTCTGACTTCTCCGCATAGACGGTCCATGATGACCTTGTTCTTAGCCCAGTCTGAGATACACGTCCTGCAGAGATAGGAGCCTCACTCTAAGGGCGTTGAAACCATGTTTACGTATCAGACGATACAATATTGCTGCATATTTAATTTTACACCTGTCAAGTTATAATCTTTAAATAGGGGTTTTGGGGTTTTGGGGTTTTGGGGTTTTGGGG